CAGTTTATTGTGCTGAGCTTGCTCGGACGTGCTACATATTGCGCAATTCATGTGATTGCGTTGGTACCTAAATGGATTAGACGAATTGCCTTGGAAGGCGTTGTTTTCAAAACTACCGGCGACTAAATGCAGCTCCATCCACGCATTTTTCTTCATTTTAAGGAAAGGACGGCCAAAGGTCCTCGTGATTACCGAGGGCACAACTCGCTGCGGACTTCTACGCGCCCGGGCGTGTGAACTCTATCATTTAACTGCCTGTATCTGGGTGGGTTTGGGATGTGAAATTTGATCATTCCTCTCAGTTGATTTTAAGTCTAAATGCCTTTCACTCCATTGGCTCTTGCCATCTGAGGGGCTTAGTTTTCGAACGCACGATTGAAGAATTAAACTTTGGCATTGCAAACTAACTTGCTCGTAACATGTTCTTCGCAGAGAGACCCTCTTTTCTTTGCGCACAGTGGTGAAAGTGGCGCAACGACAAGACTTACTGCTACATTAACACCTATGGCCAAGTGATGGTTGTTTTGAGCGCCTTTTTGTAGGCGCTCAAGTCAAAGTTTCAGGTGACTACCAGGTGTAAGGCCTTTAAATGGTAGATTGTGAGATGGGACACATCCTCACAGCATGCATTACTGCACTGGTTTACTTGAACACTTTAAGTTCTCATCTGAGGCCGTATGCGGCAGGTAAAGGACATTTTCTCAGAAACGTTAGTGCTGAAGTTAAAGGCAGATTTAGGCAAAGCTATGTTGTTGGAAATGAAGAACAGTTTGCGCGACAAGGGAAACATTCTTACGAGAATTCTTCAGCCCGTCCTCACGTCACCTTGTGCTGTAAATTTCATGAGTGAAGCGTGGGTGGCACTTTACCAAGCAAACCATTACCTTGCTGATCCGTTGTTCATGGCCGAGCATTTAGCCTTTAGCAAAGAGTATCGCATTAGCTGATTTCAGTGACCCTAGAGTCTATTTCGCCGTGCACTTTCTAATGATTTCCCGAAAGGATTTGACAGCATTACTACGCTTTTCGACTCTTCGGCAAAGGTTACCTTCAGATGTAGGACAATATTTTAGTTAAATGCACAAGAATGATTTGATCTATTCAAAACAAATACAACAGGTTGCTTTTGTGCCAGCATTTTTGTTGATAAGTTTGGTAGAAAAAACCTACAGACTAGACTTTCCTAGCCTTCTTAACCAGCTATTCGTATTTCAGGGAACTAATTGAGGCCTGAGGATTTTCACAGTGACCACATTTCGGGCTACTGTCCTCTGTTTTTTTACACAGGAGGCACTGGTTGCTAAGTTCCGGTCGTTATGAGGCGTACCTTCCTTCTTTTAGGAATCCACTTCAGCAGTTGAGAATCAGCGCTTCTTGTTTACTGAGACCCAGAAGGGTGGCATACATAAGGTGCCTTAGCAAATACTTTGAACTTAAGACTTGGCGTGCCACATTGAGTAGTGCTGACTTCATCTAAGTAGTGCTGCAACTAGACCATGTCCGTCTAAACTAGCGTTAAATGCTCACAACCAAAGATGTTTGGTAACGCTGGATCATGTGCTTTGACCACCGTTGATGATTGACGGAACTATTTGATAAAGCGTCCGTTCTCGGAGCAATGCTTTTCGCATAAACAGGGATTGTTTGCGTCTTAGCGCTCACCCACATCTGTCGGAGACAAAGCTGTTTTACTAGATTACCACTTGTAGTGAGGGCGGAGCTTTTTCCAAACGGAACGTCTGGTCTATCCGACATACCGACATAGATGGAACTGAGTTTGGACTACCATACTGCCAACCAACATCACAACCATGCGGCATGTCCATGAGAGTAAGCCAATTCATGTTAGCTGCCCACATTTAGTGGTCTACGCAATATAGTGGCGTTTCTTGCTTTGTATTTAGGTTTCTCAAATATTTCCTTACAGCATCCCTCTCAATTTGGCGTCCCATCTATCTGACTTAACTAGAAGAACCGGCATTAAATAGGATTGTAAGCTTTTCTACTTGGGCAAACATTTTTAGAGATCATACATCCAGCAGCAAAAATAGTTTACGGCTTAATTATGCAACAAAACATCCGCAACTTAGTTCAAGGGCACTTTGACGTCACAAACCGATGAGAATCACAAAATGGATTTTAGCTCCGGCGAATTTTTACGAGGTGCATTATCAGGGATAACCTTTCAGAAAACACCAGGTTCTGCTAGGACAAACACGCAGCTGGTAAGCAACCACAAAGAGGAATCTTCATATTTATGATCCAAAAATACGGGAATTATTCATTATCTAGGTGTGCCCAAATTTCGTTTTCAGAGTATAGCATGGCACCTAATGACCACACAATGTCAGCACATTTATGATATTATTCTGTGCTAACTGTACCCCAATTCACTGACCAATATCGACGGGTATTGTCGAAGTTAGAGCCATGAGGTAGTACCAGATTCTTTATCGCAACATGATGTTCCATGAAGACGATTCCTTTTTGTGTTGTATTGGTCAAAAACGGTGCTCAAATACCGTTTAATGTGCACCACAATGCAAAAGGCGTGGTTTGACTGGTTTTTCTTTAAATTATCAAGGAGCTCTGGATCTTTGCGTTCACAGCTATTGATTCTCGCTCCCCCAGAGGAAACAGGAAAGTTATATGGGATTCTAAATGATGCGAACTTTCCTTTCTGAAACGCTACTGCCTTTCATCTGTCTGAGTGTTTTAACTAGGACAACATTTCCTCGGATGATCAACACTGAAAACTACTAGGGCTATCTGAACTAACATCGGACTCGTCAATTAATTGCCTATCTCTTATAAGCCAATCTCATATATCCTGTGGATGGTACCTGAAGATAATGTTACGCCATATGTAGACAAATTCATCAGTTGGAGATTTCAGTGTAAAATTTAACAGGAACTAAATTTTACGTGGTTTTCAAGGCTTAGATGATAGAATGTGTTTAGCACAGATGCCAAGAAGCAGGCATACTTAAATGGATAGTTTTGTTCAAACCTTTAAATGAGCCTGCGAACCGCGACATTGTGGAAGGTCCAGTGTACACGTACTGTATATTGTCATTGCCTAATATTTGCTGGGAATAGTAACATGTTAATGTTGTCAAGTAACTATGTAATAATTAAGTCACTCAGGAATGAGTATTCTGCGTTACATGAGGTTCTTGACCCTAGGGAGGGGCTATTACACAGGTGCTACCGTACGTTTAGAGATACACTATCACAGGAGATGTTTGTTGATATGTAAAGCTTTCTACTTGAATTTTCAATCGATTGCTGTCCTATTCGCCAGAAAGCGCGGGTAGGCTGTTCACAGTGGCGTGCGCAGCCTAGTACCCTTAACTGCCTGAACGTTGCAAAAAGTATATTTTACTATATTTGACCAAGTTTTTGAAGACCTTACAAGCTCTGTTTTACACAGTTATACCAGCAATTTTGAAATTAAGGTTGTGTTACCAACGCGTGCGTAAAGATACAAACGCGTCATCGATTACTCCAGCCAAGTTTAGTACGAGCTTTTTCGCCATGCCTAACAGTATAAAGGTATAAAACACGGCTCGGATAATGCATCCTGTTGCTTTGCCGCTGTTATTTAGAAAATGCAGCCTGTCCTTCTCTGAACACTGATATGAGCTGCGACTGGATACCTTGACGGTTTGTCAGACAGACTGCATCTACACACTTCGAGTGCTGTCACTGATTATCTCTATCATGATGCATTTGTTCTTCAGAATCTAAAGATTTCGTGGAGATGTCCAGTTAAATATTTGCTTGAATTGTCATGAATAACTCACCAGAACAGTGCACTCAATGTTCACAGACTAAATCTAGCAGTGATTCGTACACTACAGCAAAGAATGCATTGACCCAATTCATGTTTTTGACAAGCCAATTGACTGCGCCCCGCTTTGGGCGGTATCGTTTCTGCATCTACGTGAACAGTGATCCTAAGTATTATTGTGGACCGACTGAAAGAGCACAGGGTCATCCGGCAATAAATGATTAATCAAATCATTTGATAGACACTTTGATGAATGTTTTGAGGCCCAAAATAAATAAACAGAAGGTATCTGGAAGATTCATCAAATGTCCTTCTAAAGCTAACGGCTGATCTCTTCGAACGCAGTGCGAGAGAACGATCTACATGGAATTTTCGGCCAACATTTTAGCTGAAAACGTTCATCCAACACACAGGCAACAGAGAATTAAGACGAGAGTATTCTTAGTTTAGCTAACTTTTTCACCTTTTATCCCGACTACTATGTTGTTTCGGAAGTCAGATTGATCATGTGATTTTTTTCAGAAGGTGTATCACAAGTGATGTCTCGAGAACTTGTACATGATGTTGTCGTATGTCGTCGGTCTTGTGACGAAATACCTTGAGGCCCAAAATAAATAAACAGAAGGTATCTGGAAGATTCATCAAATGTCCTTCTAAAGCTAACGGCTGATCTCTTCGAACGCAGTGCGAGAGAACGATCTACATGGAATTTTCGGCCAACATTTTAGCTGAAAACGTTCATCCAACACACAGGCAACAGAGAATTAAGACGAGAGTATTCTTAGTTTAGCTAACTTTTTCACGTTTTATCCCGACTACTATGTTGTTTCGGAAGTCCGATTGATCATGTGATTTTTTTCAGAAGGTGTATCACAAGTGATGTCTCGAGAACTTGTAAATGATGTTGTCGTATTTCGTCGGTCTCGTGACGAAATACCACTGGCCTAATCCAGGAACAAGCCAGATTCTGTTAACTCAAATGAGAAAATAAATACATTTTAAAAAAATTATTTTCGATCTCTAAAACATTCAAGGCAAGTTCGTTTGCTTTTAGGTTAGCATTCATGCAGACATTTGACGCAATCAATGATTGGTCAGTTGTAATGACCGTTCCCTTATTGGTCGAAACGTACGACCACCTCCCGAAGATGTGTTTAATGTTTTAAGATAAGTGATACTGTAATATCGTCAAAAGCCGACAATTTGTAACCGGCGGTCTTCAGATGATCACATAGCATGCTTGTTTTGCTTTCAAGAAATTGATGGATTACGCGACACTCTGGTTGCCACTAAGACAGACGTGTGCCCTGGGTCTCGCGCCGGTACTGGCGGATACCAGGGCATTAGAGGCTTTGCGTGAGTGGCCACGGTTCCCAGACTCCAAACTATCTATTAACGTTAGTGGTGTGCACTTTGAACTAAACGCATCGATTGCTGGACAGTATCCCAACACGTTGCTTGGCTCGGATGAAAAAGACTACTACTATGACGAGGATAACCAGGAGTATTTTTTTGATCGTGACCCTGAGTTATTTCGTTACATCATGACATACTATCAGAGCGGAACCCTCCATTTCCCTAAAAACCTGTGCGCTAGCGCATTCGAAGAGGAACTGAGGTTTTTTGCAATACTTCCAGATCACATGGGCGATTGTTGTTACGAAGAATACCTCGATCAGTGCCGAGAGGTTAAGGAACGTGTGCAAGACAAATCCCCTTTCGTCCGATCAGCGTCAAAGCATGCAACCTCTTTACGTGGACAATTAAGTGCAGTGTTTGACGATCCAGACTACAATGATGTCGCCCAAGTTGTTTACTACACAACCGGATTTTTCATCATTGTTTCTGTGCTTTCAAATATGGCAGAAACCATCATTTGTACGGAAAAAGGACAGCCTGATCATCCTCAGACCTATGGCGACAAATATACTAACATATTTTTCTGTGTTGACACAGCATGCGTTGTCATCTTTACAATCGAGTACATGGCAAGACTGTATGCGGCAGAATCGCGCTGGAAATACATCAAGTCGGTTATGGCTCTGATTGACCTGGTAGCCATATTGCCCTACTATATTGCCCTATTTCTACCGTCAAACAAGAACTTCTCAGGCTCTCTGGTTACGTTGCGGGTGTTTCGTGTGTTTCGGATATTTAAGTTCTCTCGTCACAGCCAAGGACTGAGAATATTAGGCTGCACGCTCAAGTCGTGTGCACAGGAATTGGGTTTTCTATTATTCAGTCTCACACTGGTTGTGGTAATTTTTGCCACTGTGATCTACTATATTGAGAAATTTGACAGTCAAACTCGGTTCCTAAGCATTCCTGCATCTGCATGGTACACCATCGTAACGATGACAACATTAGGGTAAGTCACTGTTTTATTGAAAAAAAATTAAAATTCAGATAGACCGATATCTTTGCTGTAAAGTTTGTAAGGTTTGCTCATTAGAGAGAATTCTGATGTCTCATAATTTTGTGGGTTATAATTTATGCAGCCACAGACATCATACTTGTTGCTTGACACTGTTACGATGATTCGTGACAGCAATTGCATAGATTATCCATACATTTACACCGAATAAATGCGCGTATTCACAACGGTATATTTCGAGCGTCCGTAAGGTCCGTAAGGCGTACAAACGTACAAACGTTAGTTTTTCTCCAGTTACAGCAAAAGAACACTTGGCAATTTTCACAACGGAGTGGTAGGTAGTCACATCGCCCCAGGTATAAAATTCCTCTTCGAATGAAGCCAACCACTGAGCATATATATATATGTATATATATATATATATATATAGTTTTGATAATAAAGTACTCTAGCTTGCTGTGAGCAAAGGTTATATATTTTAAGGAAGATCTAATGAGAGTGCACCTGTTTAAAGGAACGGGCGTGAAAATCAAACTAGCTGACATAGGTTCTATAAAGTCAACCCTTCCATGGGTTCACAGTCGTTGAGTGTAAACAGACTGGATAAATCAAAGCCAAACTACAGGTTCATTTGATGGTTGCTTGGGTTAAATGTAAATATATTAACAGTGTGAAGTGAGTCTTCATGGTTAGACTAGATGTCCATTTATATAGGGCGTACGTTTTCCAAATACAAAGATCTCAGGAGAAGAGGAGCTTATAATCAATCTTGTTTAGATAAGTATGTTGTGACAAGAAGCGCACTAAGTGGCTGTTAAAGAGCACAACAAAATATGCTATGTTAACCAGAAATGTCCTCTACTCATTCCCACAAAATGGCACCTGATAGCGATGGTGATTTATCTGCGAACTTCCAAATCACAAGGTACAGAGTATATTATCAAATGCAGCTTTCATCGTTGTTTTTGATCTGAAGGGCCTTTCTGGTGGCTCAATTCTCACAAATGTTCAATGGATTGTTTGTGAGCTTGCGGTAGACTCGGCAACACAGCTAATCTAAACGCCAAACCCTCTGGAATCTTCAAATTATCTTATTCTTTTTGGTTCAATTCTCCGAGTATCGTCATGCTGCCAGAAGATTTGGTCAGACTCCATATAAATCAGTTTCCCTCTTCCTTGATTACTTGGATGTGAGTACCTAGAAGTGCGCACGCCAAAAACAACTCCAGTTTGTGCGTTTGCCGGATTAGAAAATACTCACTATGCCACTGAATCAGCCAACCAATGAAAACGGACGGCTTCAGAACATTCTCTGGAAACTTTGTTTTTGTTGTACCTCCGCCGCTCCGGAGGATAATTGCCGAAGATGTTTTATGGCTCATTTTCATAAGCGTTCACCTGCAATCTACCTGTTGACTAGAATGAGGACCCCTATTGTAAAAGATAGGCGGGCTTGAGCAAAATATCCCCTTCGCTAGCCCCTTTTCAGTCAATCAAGTATTCCGAGAACGCCAGAAAGCGATATTCGCGACCGTTACAGTGACTGTCAGTGAGAGATGGGTCAGTATTGATAAAGTGATTGCACAAATTCTGCGAGAATAATACGTACTAGTGAGGAGAAATTTAACTTACACAACTACATATAATTTAAACCACAATGATGTGCGTAATACGAGTCCCTTTCGGACAAGAACAAGGACTCTCTAATTCGTTTTAGTTTCAAGGATCGGGCGAATGAAGGAAGTGCTTTGGAAGAGTTTTTGTGATTTTTATCCAAATTTTACAGGTGTGACTGTTGAACTGCAACTGAAAGGCTTGCTCTAGAGTGATATTTCTTCAAATGTAGAACCGAACGGCAGAACAAGCACTCTATTGGCATGCAGTCATATAATTTGTACTAATAAACGTTACTGCTTCACCCACTTTCCTGCCACAATGCAACCCTTGGCAACAAATTCCATGACCTTATGAAGGTAATAGATCAATGGTCGGTAGGTATCTCATTGATGAGGAAAGAGCAACTTTTCTTCAGACTTGTGCACAACCTTACAATCGTTAATGCAAGGACACAGAATACGCACACACGAAAGCACGCCTTATGATATGCAGCCTTACTTTTCTTCGGCGGTGCTGTAATCGAGCTCTGCATTCTTTCCCGATGCACACGACATAAAGTTAAGTTTATATCTGCAACGCACGGGATGATCCTGGCTGGTATTTATTCGGGGCTTGTGCGACTTTGGAGAATGCATCGGCTTTGTTATATCAAATTAATAATGTAGCCCTGATGTCCTTCTTGTATTGAGCCTCAGAGCTTATAATCCTATAAACGTACACATGGGCCTTTACCCAATACTGACTGGATGAGGCTTCCTAAGGTTAAGATACCCATACCCTTTCTGGGTTTCTTGAAAGGTTAAATTTGGGAAAGCGCTGAGAATGAGAAGTGATCAGTGATAACTGCGTAGAAAACCAAGTACAATGGTCTTTGTTAATTCAGCTCCCCCGTTCTGAAGATCAACAGAATCACTCGCTATATCTGAAACCTGAATGGAAGCTTTGATTTTTGTCTTTACTACTGCGTCATTGCATACTATATAGCCTCTATCGTGCATGGCATATTATATTAAATTTAATGCACTTTAAATTCTGATCCGATTTAAACTATACTCCTATCTGGATGGGATAAAAACAGGATGCATACTACTGTGGACCTAATAGTTCAATCAAATTGCTGAGATGAGAGGAACTGAGGAAGTTATTGTGCGACAATTCCCTTTGTCCTATAGTCACTCTAAATCTTGAAGTTTGCTGACTTTTCTTCGTTTAATCTGCATAAACGGTCGGTTTTGTAAGTTCACCACCTGGCAAAAGACTTCAGACGGTAGTAGAGCGAACCTTCATGGTTGTCGAGTTGAAAAAAATCTGGGACTTGGTTGAGCCCAAAACAGAATCAGTAGGATTATAATTCACCGTGTTCATTTTGCCATTCATTCGACAGACCAATTTAAACTGCTTACTTGATAGTTGGTCTAGAAATCGGATCATTATTCTGATTGTAGAATGAGAAAGCGCAATCAGTGTGCACTGATCCGTTACGCAAGAGAAGTATCCCGCGTGATGTTTTGATGTTTGGTGGGGCACTGAAAAACAGAATAATCCATCGTACGTTCACCATTCCAATTCAGTTGCACGGAAGCCAAAAAGCACATGATGTACAGGTGTGTTTATGGGGGACACCAAGTGGGAATTCCTTCGAAACCGTTAATTTCCGAAATATCTGTGACTGTTACGACAATACTTGTGATTAATTTATATTAGTTAGGCAGTTTCCTTCGCGGGAGAATCGATCGATATTGGTGTCACCCCAGAGGGACGGGAGTGTTTTAATCCTAAAGGTGACCATCCAGGGATCATGATTGCCAGCCATATTGAAAGATTGAGTTCTCAGTATTCGGTGAGCTCACGCCTCAAGATGTACCGCATGACATATCAGTTCACAATATCAAGAGTGTCCATCGGTGAAGCTCAGTATAGGATAGATTGGGCTATAATCCAAAAGTATTTGCCTTCCCGGATCTCTGTAAACCAGTTACGACTTAAATAACCTCATTTGCAATTTGAGACTTCGTGGTTCCACAATCGAATGTGGTAGTTGTTCGCAACCGGACTGATTCCGAAAGTCCAATCCAATAATCATTTTCGTGCACTTGAAACTTCACATTTTGTGTCTCCGCATTCCGGCGATTAGAAACAGTTTTTATACAGTGCTGATAGTAGTTTCGGGTTTGTGAGATTATCCGTCAATTTGGAGGATTATCCTATTTGTAGCTTATTAGTGCGCTTGCTGTTATCTTTAAAATGTCAATCATTGTCTCTTTCAGATATTCAAAGGTATGAAGTAGACTGCAGATTCACAGCAGAGGAGTTACTTGTGTGATTAAAGAAAAAATGAGATTCCAAAATTCGGCTTGACGATGATCATACGAAATTTTGAGAATATGTTCTGCTCTATTGCAGGTCAGCTCAACAGGCTCTTCTCAGTGGTGACGCCATCCATGGCGATACGATAAACATTTATTCGCGCTTTTGGAATGGATAAAACTGAGGATGACGTTACAAGCGTTTTCTCGTTTGTCTGTGTCTTGTCAGAATCTGCGCCAAATATCAAGAAATAAGGAAAGCACGGAAAATATATGGTACACCGCACGCCTAGCTAACATTTTAAACTAAATACCCATGGTATTACGAATAATAGACTGACACTCTGTAAGAACCAAAAGAATGAAATGAATCAACTTTAATTTTTTAGTCAATGCCCCGGGATTCAAAGGAAATAATATATCACGAAAGGCACACATCAAGTGATTGCTACCGTTTTTGATGTAGGGAATGGAAAAAAAACTAGCTGTAACGAATCAAATGGAAATTTTCAAATGGGTGGGCTGTAAAAGTCATCTTTGTGTGTAGTTTCGCTGAGCTCCGCAAATTTGTCGCAGCCCAATTACACCATTTCTCACAAATTGCCACTGAGTAACCGAAAATACAAAAACTAGGCTCATCTCATGAATGGGCATTGTGAGGACGTTTGACATGGAAACAGAAGAAATGTCGTGTAGTCCGAAGCACAGTTTTTGTCACTAGTTCGTCTGGAGTAGATGAGGCGCTATGGATGAGTATGAGGGGAAGTCTGAATTCTTGGCTCCCGAAGAATCAAAACATAAGTACAGAACTAAACGCATCCCCTTGCTTTGTGCAAGGCACTTCGCCAGCATACTGGTCTCCTTGCACTGTAGTTTTAAATTCAGGTAGTATGCGTGAAATGCAAATTGCCACCAAAAATAGACGAATTACATTTGGTCTTGATAGCTTAGTGTGATCCTGTGAACCGAGATGAACCGCAAAAGAACTTACAGAAAACTGGTTGGATGATAGAACATCACAGAAATGAAAGTTCGGCGCAAAGTATCAGAATCAGTCTCGCCAACGTACTC